GGAGTTTTGGGCCCGTTTTACTAAAAATCTTTGGCCTAGCATCTTGCTGGAAGTAAGGATGGGTTAATCATCCATTAACGTTTGTAGAGAACTTCCCTATAAATAAATTCAGAATTAACGGTACTTAAACAAAAAAGAGTTTGCAATTTTAATTTATTCTGGTTACTGGGCTTATTATTTTCATGTATTTTGCGGATGACAGTGACGTTTATGGTACATTTTTGTACGCTTTGGGCGGTCAATGTTTGTGGCACAAATTTATGCTCGATTGGCCTTTTAAAATAAATTCATAAACTTGACGGCGAGAGTGAAAATTTATTTATGCACCCGTTGTGTCTCATATCAACTATTATGGATTTATGACGGATTATATTTGCAAATCGCGAAGCTGCACGAAAGTTAACCCGAATAAACGTAAATTTTTCTCAAGCGCAAGTTTTGTGAATTACGATTGTACTTTTGGAAATAATAATAAAAACGATGTGGGAAATTCAGGGGCCGACAAAAAGCTGAGACCATCTACGGCCCTCTGCGTGTTTTTTTCTTTTTCTTCTGTATCGCATTTACAACCCCAGAGTACTCGATATCCTCGGGCGGGATTCAACAAAACCTTGCTTTCACGCTGATAAATTACATTCATTCCTATAAATTAACATAAAACGTAACACCCGATGCAAAGATAGAAGTCTGATCACATTCAGTCCCCCAGAGTACTCGATATCCTCGGGCGGGATTCAACAAAACCTTGCTTTCACGCTGATAAATTACATTCATTTCGATAAATTAACATAAAACGCAACACCCCATACAAACATAGAAGTCTGGTCACATTCACTTTCTGAGAATACTCGATATTTCTTGGGGCGTTTTGGAAATAATCCTCAGTGTTCGTTTACATACATTTATTGCAGACAAACAGATGTACATTATTAGTGGTAACGTGTGGTGATTAGTGACCGTTAGTCGATGATTATTCGGAAACCGTGAGATGCAGTCTGGTGTGACGTAGGTTTCAGAAAAACATTTCCTTTATCGTGCCAACGTTTTGATCTTTATTAATATCATCTTCAGGGCCTGGGATTTACAAACATTGTTTAAATTTAACAAATACATGTAGGATGTGGAAAAGTGAATTTATACAATGCAAAACAAATATTTTTTATATTCAATCAAAGTATTTCTACTCACTCAAAATTTGTTTTCTGCGTAATTGTGCCATTAGTAGAGTACTTAGTACACTCCTAATAAAACAACCAGATGGCACATTGATCACAAATTATTGGTATCAAAAACCAAGAAACACAGATCGCTACCTCAACTTTACATCTCACCATCCTCTTCATACAATAATAAACACGGCCAAAGGGTTACTTCACAGAATTATTACCCTAAGCCATGAATCATTTCACCACAAGAACATAAAGATATACAAACAGATCCTCCATAAAAATCACTACCCTAAACACATAATCAACAACTTCAACTCAACACTAACACCATCCAACATTTCTCTCCTCCGATAATTTTAAAATAGCTTTCAAAAACTATAAAACAATTCAAACACTTTTTTCCAAAATTAAAGATCCCACACCAATAACAAATAAATCTGACGTAATCTACAAGATCAACTGTTTAAACTGTCCGGCAACTTACATCGGTCTTACATCCCAATATCTGGACAAGAGAGTAAAGCAACATATCTATGATTGCAAAAAACCCAAGCAAAATCCTACAGCACTCGCTACCCACCATTTTAAACACAAACACAATTTCGACTTCAACAATCCAAAAATATTACACACAGAGCAAAACAAACATAAACGTAACTTTTTAGAAATGGTTTACATCAACGCAGATAAACACAGCATCAATTACAGAACAGACACCGCTACGCCAATATCATTAATCAAATTCAATATCGATAACGTACATATATCATCACATCACACAAAACATATAAAACATTCATCACATTCCACACATCAAACATTTTTACATAGTATAATTTTTCAATAATTTAGCTTTCCTTTTCTTATTTATCCCCGTCTATATCATCCTGAAAGGATAAACTGGCCGAACCATTACCAACCTTTTTTTCCATCGTCGGTTCTTTTCACCTCAAAGAAACCGACTCCTTATACAAAAATGTCTTTCTATCCCGACTTCCTTCCCCACCGCTTCAAAATCCAACGTATATAAACACAAAATAGCAAAATCTCACTGGCACTCTCGACACGTCACGCAAGAATGGCACAATTACGCTGAAAACAAACACTTTGAGTGAGTAGAAATACTTTGATTGAATATAAAATTTTTTTTTTGCATTGTTTAAATTCACTTTTTTCCACATCCTACATGTATTTGTTAAATTTAAACAATGTTTATAAATCCCAGACCCTGAAGATGATCTCAATAAAGATCGAAACGTTGGCACGATAAAGGAAATGTTTTTTTAAAACCTACGTCACACCAGACCGCATCTCACGATTTCCGAATAATTAGTAGTAACGGTAATGTTAGTATTAGTTCACCAAAAGTAAGTTAAAACGCTTGAAGACTAAGCCTATAAGTTTAGTTCATTTTTATTAATTGAATAGTTTTACTAGTTTTAAATTTGCGTTTCAAGGATTAAATTTTTTTTGTATGTGTTTCATCGTTCCTCTTGTGTTTAACTGGTAACATCAGTTATAAAATATCCCGGCTTAGGCTTTAGCTGCTCTTATCGAGAATCCTTGTAAAAAGGATTTTTAACCTGCTTTTCTCTGGGCTTTCCTCCTTTTTATCTCTTGGCTTATCCGCCGAGAGGTTTTACTTTTAAAATTAAACTTTTCCAGTCGTTGGCTTGGAGATTGTTCCTCATATTAGAAATGTAAAAAAACTTGTCGATAACTTCATAATATAAATCGATACGTTTCTCTGTACAAACGTTTTCCTTCTGAACGATTTAGATATAGATATAGGTGCAGTTCTAAAGATCGTTTCATATTTCATAAAGAAAGAGGTGTATAGTTCGAGAGTTTTTTTCGGGATCGTTGCCGTTTCCCTAGTGAACCGGGAGAATATCGATGTAATAGGAAAGGGAAGGGTTCTGCTGTTGGTGCAAGGGTGAGTTTACACGTGTAGAAGGGCGAAGAGGGTGGTTTGGAAAAGGGTCCTGCAATGCAGTCGAAACCTCGAAAACGCCTTTCTCACCTCTCACTTGTCATTTCACACTACGGTTGGGTACCAGAAAAAAAAAAACAATAAATTGTCTTTAAAAAACAATCGGACGGCGAGTAAATGATGCGCTCATAGATCATGACCGGGTTTACCAATATAAACCTTTTTTAAAAGGAAAGTTTAATGGCAGTGGATGAAACTGGAGGCCTGGGATACAATTTACAAAAACCACTCTTCGATTCGTCCTTTGTCTTATTACCCAATAGTCGCATGAGTCAGGAAAAACCAAAACGTTTTCTGAAAGAAAAAAAAAACAATCAGTAGGCGAAGTCAAGCAAGGAAGCAGCCTAGGTCCTCTCCTGTATACAGTGTACACCACCGATAACCCTTTAAATAAAAAATTCTTTGTTGTAACTATATATGAAAAATTCGTAGATTTTCGTAAATAACAATCTGAAGGTGAGCTGTTCTTGTGCTCATTGATCATGGTCATTTTTACAACCTTTTTAAAAGTTAATTTACTGTCATGATGGTTCGTAAAGTGGTCAGGGATACAATTTACAAAAATCACTCGCCACGGAATAATTATTCAATTTTATTTTTAAAAACGTGGTGGGCAATTCACATTTTGCGCATAACGATGCGCATACGTTAGAATAAAATTCATATGGGATCAACTAGAAAGCAACCCGCATAATCCCTCAAAATTCCACAAGGATCCGGCAATTTTTTTGTGAACTGTTGATCCGAAGGGGATGAAATTCTTAGGGGACCATCTAGAAACCCACCCACACAATTTCTGAAAATTACATAAAAATTATTACACGGTTTCGGAATTTTGCCGATTGCAAGGTATTGTCCACGAACAGACACTGAAAAAAATTCGTTCAGAAAGGTCTGAAACTCAAAATGCGAGTGGAAATCTTGATTTTGGAGGAGTACCGTTAAAGAAAGACAATAGAGGAATATAATAAAATTGTTCGGAAATTTCTGAAACCCAAAATGGGAGTGGAAATTTTAATTTTGTAGGGGAAAAATTGTTCAGACTTCCTGTATGAGTACAATACTTCCATACCTCCTGTATTTAGGAAGCAAAAACCTACAAGAAGGTCATTTTTCCTGCCCTGAGTAGTTTCCAATATTTTTCAACTATTTAACTAAAATTTAGGCAATAATGAATGCCTAAATTATTATTTTAGTCGTGAGCAGCCCCCGTGTTACTAAAACCAACTGCAATTAGTGTTAAAATATTAAACATTAATTTTTGAACCATAAGGGAAAAATCCAAACAATCAACTAGATGAGTAAAACGCCATATTTTCTGGCGGGAATTGACAAATTAGCCATTTACATGACCATTATTTAAAGTAATTCATTTAAACCTTTATGGTTTAATGTTATATGAGATCAAGTCGAACATTGGCAATTTGGTTAAAAGGTTAGCAGAAATTCCGTAAGATTGGTGATAGAGAGTTTCGATTGGCGCCAAGTAAACAAATGATGCCAATACACGGGCAGAAACAACACTGCACCCACCATAAACACATGGGATTAGCTAAGCTTTAGCAAATTTCCTAAATTTGTGGTTGGCAACGTTTGGCAAGAAAGGGTATATTAACTATAATCCTTGCGTGTTATCAAAGAAAGCGAGATAATCTTGCATAAAATAGTGGGAAAATAATGAGATTAGTAATAGACTAGAAAGGGTTTCTTGCAATTTGTTTATTTACACAAAAAATTTTTTATTAAAATTGTCTGGTAAAAAATTTATTTATATTTATATATGCTTGTGTAAAGTATAGTTGATTCTAAATTTTTTTAAATTTGTTTTCTTTTTCCAGATTTGTCAAGAGCTCAGAGAGCACTTTCGGTCACGCTGCAAACTTTCAGGTTTGAGTGTATAGGGACTTCACAAACAGACGACGAATTAGTGATATCTAAGTCATTAGCAGAATTCGGCAGGCTGATAGAAGCGATAGAAGACGAACGGGCTAAAATGGTGAGTACTCATTCTACTCGAAAAAAAATCCTAATTTGCATACCTCTAAGCGCCAAGCACAGAGAATTCATGAGATTTCTAATTATATTTTTTTCCAAAAGTGTAAGATCGTGGAAAAGCTTAATTAAGACCAAGTACCAGTCTTGATGAGTATAGTAAGCCAGCGTCAAACGCTTCCCAGTTTTACTTGGCTTAAGAAATTTACTAAATAGAGAAAAAAGCAAAAGAAGCCCCGGTCAATGTCTATTTTAATATCTTGGCGCTTGGTGAACCACTATATTATAGTTTAAAAGGGCGTAGAAGGTTAAGAGTAGGTAACTATCGTGTGGTTTACAGAGTAAATCAATCAGAACGCACAGTAATTGTCACAGAGATAGGACATAGAGATATCAATTATGTTTTTTTTTTAAATTTTATTTGTGTGATTTTGCAAGTCCCTTCAATTCCGGTACATCCTTTAAAACTCTTCTGATCATTGAACCAAGTGAAGGTTTGCCAAATAAATCTGTACCAAAATCAGTAATATCAACACCTGTAAACACTACTTCTTGGTAGCCATTTGCTACGAAAACCTTGATTTGCTCTATAATATTGTTTATTGGTACGGATCGGTTGTTTCCTCTTGCTTCAGTAATTGAGCAAAATGTACAGCTATGATTACAGCCATTTTGGACTTCAATAAATGCTCTTGATTTATTATTAATTAAACTTATTAATTAAAATAGGTTCTGATTTGCTTGCTTGATTATCACTGACTAATATTTTGTTATTATTTAGCTTATCTTGATTGCCCAGAACTTTGCTTGGGAGAAAACCTCTTGTTAATCCTTTAGAGATACATAAAAAATCAGGTATAATTTGAGTTTGTTCGAAAGCAAAGTAAGTACCAGTACGTCCACAGAAGCATAATGTAAAGGAGTGTATCTATCTTCATCTGTATAGGTAAAAAACCAGAAGTTTTAAAAAGACGTGAGGTGCACATAGTGCAAAAAATTAAACATGGTACGCCAGATATACTAAGTTTTTTTGTCGTTTAATCTGCACAGACTGAAGATAAATAATAGCTTCAACCTTATGATAATGGGTTTAGAGGAACTTGTCAAGTAGTTTTTTTGTTTCTGTCAGCTACCTAGATAACGGCTAGGATTGTATAATAGTTGTACTGGAATCCAGTTTTTCGTATAATTTTATTAAAAAAGTATGAAAGGCCTATATATCAAGACTTACGGCTGTCAGATGAACGTTTATGACTCTGTTTTTATGTTGAACTTCTTCTGCAACATCAAGAAGTTATTGTTAATGCTGAGGCTCATGGAGGTTTTACTGCTTTACATTTGGCAGCACTATATGGTCATAAGAGCGTAGCTAAACTTCTTCTGCAGCATGGAGCTGAGGTTAATGCTAAGAGTAGTGAGGGTGATACTCCTTTGGCGTTAGCGCTAAAATATTGCCATCCTGAAGTAGTTGACCTGATCAATTGCAGCCTGTTCGCTCTTTCCGCTTCGTATCGACAGCAAAACGTTTTCAAGACGCAGGAAATAATTTGATAGAAATATGTTACCTTACAGTGATTGACTTTTTCTTAAATTCGATGGTGTTTTGGTAGGTTGTATGCGCAGTTTCTACAAATTTTCACGTAATCTTTGAAAAAGATTGACAATGCTTAAAATATCATTTATCATTTTTTATAATAACATCTAGTGGGTAGCAACATGAGTTTTGGTCAATATCTTAAAGGTGACACTTTAGTATTACCTTGCGCTGTAAATATAGGCAAATCGGTAAGTTTTTACGAAGTAATACAAACATTACAAAGCTTTCTTTGTAACCACCAAGACCAAGGGGTAGTGGTCATGAAAAAATGCTTACAGTATTTGGAGGAGCTAGATACATACACCATGTGATAAGTGATCAAGACGTAAAAGAGCTAGTCAAACTCAAAAATCTTACTGAGCTTAATTTACCATGTAACGAAATCACTGATGAAGAGGTTTGTAAGAGGTGTAATTATTCTGGATGATTAGATTAAATCCTGATCGATGGTTTTAGATGTTTAAACATCTTGCCGTTTTCTGTCATTATCACATTTATGTTGTATTCATTTCAATTTAACCTACCACCCAGCTACCATAACTGAGGAAGGGATTCACATTGACCTTGAAAAAAATCCCTCATAACTTACAAAGTACAGCAGTTCCGGAAAAGGAAGGACAACGAACCAACTTCGCTGTCAACTTTAGGTGGCATCAATGCCCTTAAAACTCTCTGTTACTGTAGGATTCGATGACAAAGATACTGGACAAAATGAGGGATCTTGAGATGCCAGAATATTGGACACCTTGCTCCTGCCCCCATAACAGAAAATGCTCAATGCTCAATCTGCGGTAACGCTCAAAACATCTCTAAGGGCAAACCAAAAGAGGTTTCAGATGGATCCCGATCAATATCCACCAATAAAATCCGGATAAATCTAATTGTTATAAGCACACCAACGTGGCCCATCAGTCAATTGCGAAACACGCAAGGACCACCACAAAGAACACGCGAAGACAAAGAACCTTTCAAGGACATATTTGATATTAAGGTCATTACGACTGGTAAATTTAGATTAGATATAGATGATTAGGGATGTTTAGAAAGGATCATTGACGATGGTTCGAAGAATTTTTGATGGTAGGGATTGGTACGTTGTAGGTTGGAATGTTTGTTTGAACCGTAAAGTTCGATAGCACATGTCCAAAAGGGTCTCAGAATAGTGATATTCAAGAGCCAGTTTTAGTCCTTTGTCCAGCAATCTTTTAAGAAGTCTGAATCGTCTGTCTTTTGAGTTGCGTGTTTGTTACATTGGAACACTACATCTAGGAATACACCGGAGCAGCAGTCATTTTGCTCCAGAGCGGTAGCGATGTCTATAACTCGATGGCACTGCTGAACTGTACAATGAGAACGTCTGAACCCTAACTGGTGGTCAAGAATGAAGGATGGGGAGAATGTGTTTAAGCGACATAAAAATTTTACTAACAAAACGGTGGACCATGTTCCCTCTTTCACCGTCAATGGTCCATAGACATCTGGGAATGAGCTTAGATGCCAAGCTGAGTAGGAAAGAGCACGTGGACAGAAATTGGCTTAAGGTATAGACAACTATACTGGTTGATAGGACGCTGCTACAACCTTACTATACAAAATAAAATATACAGACAAGTCCTAAATGTGGACATGTGGTTTTCAATTATGGGGCTGTACCAAACACCGCAATATCAAACTTTTACAAACACTCCAAAATAAAATCTTATGTGACATGGTCAATGCACCCTACGTAGGAAATAAGGACTTACATATGAATTATAAGATCCCTGAGGTCACACCAACACCTCAGCCAGCAGGTGAATGCGGAACCGACTAAATTCCTTCACAATCCAAACATCGTTAGAACGTTGAAAAGGACAGCCATACGAACTAGTGTAGTTAATAATTTTGGGAATAGTGAAGTTAAATCTTATTGTACCAATGGGATTTTAGGAATATGCACATATTTATCTATTGGCTACCCACACCCACCCGCGCGCGCGCACACACCCACACACACAGATATATATATATATATATATATATATATATATATATATATATATACAGACCTGCGCTAGGTCTCTTTTTAGAAATTGTTTCAAATTTTCGCGATTTTTGGGCAAAAACGTGTTTTTTATGCCCATGGAAAAAAGCTATCACTCTCTCCCCATTTTACCATACATATACATATTGTTTGAATACGTCAATACGTTATACGAAACCAAACTGCCACAACACCTGTGAAATGTGAAAGAAAAATTGAATTTCCGTGATGAGGTAAATAAGTTGAACCTATGACTTGAAAGGCTGAGAAAATATGCATTTCCAAAGTTGGCATAATAATTTTTTCGTGCAAAAACCAAGTGGTCGGTTTTTTTTATGGGCAGTGTATATATAACATTTTAGTTTCCTTTGATGTTTTCAACGGTTCCTAATATTCCTCTTACTGAAACCTATAACATTATTTTAAAAACTTGGCAATTAATACATCCAAATTTCTTCACAAAAAACATTGACCTTCATGAAGAAGGCTTAAAAGTTCGTAATAAACGATATTTTCCTGTGATAACAATTATTATAGTGGTGGTATTGCTTTGGGAAGTTGACCTGTTGACGTGAGAACATTTTGACTAAGTGAGATATACGTACAGCCATATCCTTAAAAAAACTTTGTCCATTAATAATTTAAAACCCCGTATCTTAATTAAATATATTGATGATATTTTTTGTATTAAAAAAAAAACATGAACTACACTATATTCACGCCATAAAAATATGAAATTACATTTGAAAAAAAAAAAACCAATAGAATAAACTATTTAGATATAACTGTAAAAAAACACTAATTCTCAAATCAAAAATTTAATCTAATAAATAATCCAATAAATATCGCCAGTAGCCTTTCTCACCCAGAGTATTGGAAATACTTAAAAATAAATTTTGTAACATTAAATGGACATCCTATAATTATTATTATTATTTTTTNACGTACCTGGGAAATGATAAAGATGCATATGTGGTCTATGATATTATTGACAATTATAGAAGTATTGCAAATGGTATTGATCAAAAGTGTGAATTTAATTTTTTCACATAATTATAATGCAAGAATCTGTCTACACTGCAGTAAATAGCATAGCATGCAAATCCGTCGGACCGGAACAAATTTCTATTACCTTATTGAAGTTAATTAAGTCTGAGATAAGTCATGTTTTATGTTATTTCTACAATTACTCGTTAGAATTACGAATTTATCCGACAAAATGGAAACGTTCTTTTATTATTCTACTATTTAAAAAAGCTCCCCCCAGACGATTGTCAATAGGCCAATATAATGTAACATTTACGCTAGGCAAAATGTTTGATGTAACAGTTTTCCAGAAAATTTATTCACATGTTGGTACAAATAATTTGCTAAATTTGGGCAC